GTCCAAATGCCCTGGGGAGGCTTCAGGGGTCTTGTTTTTCTCAGGCGAAGGTCCTGTGATTCAGCATTGGGCCTGAGCCAGGTTCATCTCAGAAAATCATGCCCACGTTGACTCAGGGAGGATTCTTGTGTTTTATATTCCCTTCCAAAAGGAGCTTCGATATCTGAGAGCAGTAAACACACACTGAGCACCGACTTTCCCCTTGACACTGTTCGAAGCACTCTGTGTGTTCTAACTCATGCGAGCCTCACAGCTTGCTGAGGGAGGGCAGGACCTTGCTACCTCAGATAGCAGCTGCTACCTCCTAGACAGGACCTTGGGGTAGAGAGAAGCTAAGTGACTTACCCAGGAAGAGACTTAGCAGCTAGAAAGAAGCAGAGCCAGGATTCAAACCCAGGCTGGCTCTTAACCACTAGCTTCTGCTAGTGAAACAGATATCTATTCCTCTAGTGATGTATCTGTTTCAAAGGGCAGTGTGGCTCCAGTGTGTTCCCAAGAACTCCTGGGGGCCGTCAGAAGAGCAGGGGATGTTCAGGCCCAGGACAGGAAGACAAGGTGGGTACCACTTCCTTCTGCTGCCTAAAGGGCTGCCTTTGTCAGAGGCCTCGAGAGCAGAGCAGGAATCAAAGGGTAAAAAGCTACAAGGAAATGCATTTGGGCTCAACAGAAGGAAGCATTTTAAACATTTATTATAAGATCTATAGACAAACCCAGAAAGCTCAGCCCCTTTAAAGTCCCAAGACAATGTCACATCTGTGTCAGATCTCCATGAAAAGCTTTTCCAGCAGCTGAGCTGGTCCCCTGGTGGATGGGGCTGCCTGCCTGCCTGCCACACAGCAGTGAGCTCTGTGCCCTTGAGCAAGGACAGAGGGAGGCCAGACAGCCACTTGGGAAGAGATGCCTGTCAGGCAGGACATCTCTTCCCGAGACCCCTGGGCACCGGGGTCCCAGGAAGCCTGAGGTTTGGGGTGGGGAGAGAAAGAAGTGGGAAGTCCATGAGACACCTCTCCCTCTCCTGCTCCCTTGCCCAAGTGAACAAAAGATGTCACGTCTCCCCTATTCCCAAACCAGACACCCTCTTCCCCATCCCACCCCACTCCAGTCCTGAGCCACGGTTCATCTTATTTTATTCTCTCTCAGGCTTCCTCAAAGAGCTGTCTGCACTTGCTGCTTAAACTTCCCCTTCCTGATAGTCTTTTCCGACCCCTGCAGCCTAGCTGCACCAAATCTGTCCTTCCCCGGGGTCTCTTCCTGCTACTCCTGGTGTTAAATCCAGCAGCCCCTTCACAGTCCCCATCCTCTCTGACCCTTCTGCAGCATTTGAAACTGGTGACCATCCCCTCCTCGAAATCTTTTCCTCGTTGGTTTCCGTGAGCCTGTACTCTGTGCCCAGTCTCCTTTCCCCATGTCCTCCCCCCCACCCCAAGCCCTCCAGTGTCAGTGGCCCCCAGAATTCTTTCCCAGCCTCCTCTTCACTTTGCACACCTGCCCCAGCACTCACAGTGCCAGCTGCTACCTGAATGCTGACATTCCTCAATGGCCTAGATTCACTTTCCACTCCAAGTATCCAGAACCGGCCCATCTGCCTCCTGCCCTCTGCTCCCCACCATGACCCTGGCCATGTTCCTACACACCTCTGCCCGCTTTTCCTCAGTGAGTAGTGCTGTCTGCCCAGTTGCCTGATAGAAACCACCGTTACCTTAGACTTCTTTCTCACAATTGCCACCCACCCCCCCGTACGCATCAGTCGAGTGGGTCTGTCTGCTCTGTCTCTCGAAACAAGCCCATAGGCATTGCCCTGGTTCAGAGTCGCACTCTCTCTCTGCCTGGTCTCCTTTCCTCTCTTCCAACCTGTCTCCAAAATGCTACTATAGTTCTGTTCCTCAAACATTTCACTCTTTCCTCCCCGCTTCCTCGAGCATTTGCAGTGCTTCTGTGCCTCCTACATTACAGGTAGGTTGGCTTTCAATTCTCTGGCATCACCTGCCACCAGAGCCCTCTAGGCAGTCAGTGCTCCAGCCACATCCTGCTTGGGCTCACTCGGGAACGCACACTTTCCATGACCTGGTTTCAGGTTATGCCAGTACTCCAACCCTGCTGCCCAGAGGAGCAGGAGGAGGAGAGCGTAGCAGTGGGCATGGGCAAAGCCAAAGAAGCGGCAGGATCGGTGGTCTGGGAGGATGGCATACCAGCGGTGGCTTGTCCATTGTGCTTGTCTAACCCACGGGCACTTCTGGATGAGGGTGTGGCACGAGGAGTGTGTGGGGCCTGGGTCCAGCCCTGACATTCAAGGCAGGAGCCTGGCTGTGATGTAAGACCTGCTATAATTTTCCCGAGCTTCCCACCACCTCTCAGATCTCCTCTCCTACCACATCCCCGCCCTGCCCCTCCCCTGTTCTTTTCCACCTTGCTGGCCTTCGTGTTAATCCTTAATAGGCCAAGTTTGTTTCTGCCTTATGGCCTTTGCACTTTCCATGTATGCTGACTAAAATGCTCTTCCCCAGATGTTCTGTAATGGTTTGCCTCTTCACATCAATACGATATTACCGTATTTTGCTGTGTGTAACGCGTGTTGTAATTTTGCTGTGTTTTTGTGCACATTATACATGGGGTTATGTAATCATTAGAGACATGTGTAATGTGCATCCTTATTTTTCCCTCAAAAATTTGGGCAAAAAAGTGCACGTTATACACATCAAAATACGGTAAACCAGGTACTGATTTTAAGGATTAAATACCTCTTCCTTCTCCCCCATCGTTCATCACTCTTATCCCCTAACCCTTATTTTATATCTCTCCAGTCCCTTGTTTGTTGTCTGTTTTCCCCAGTGGAAGGGCACAGTACTTGACTGGTTTGCCCCCCAAACCTATGACAGTACCTAGGCCGGAGCAGGTCTGTGATGAGTGTTTCTGATACGAGCACACTAAGGAGTGAGGGAATGGTGAAGGGGAGCCTCAGACCCTCAGCAGTTAGAGCTCACGCCGAGGCTGCACCAGCACTGTCTCCATCCGCCTGGGCAGGCCAGCGGTGCTGAGCCGCCGTGAGTGGCAGGTTCGAGGGGGTGGGAGCTGGGGGAGGCTGGGGTGGACTCGTGCACATGCCCCGCCCTCCGATGTTCTTCTGCCAGGTAAAATCCTTCCTGTCTTCAAGGCTCCATTCCATTTCTACCTCCCCAAGGAGCCTTGCCGGGTCCTGCACCCCATCTTGAGCCCACTTCCTGGGTGTTCTCACTCCCTACTGCTGAGACCTCTCTTCACAGCACCCGTGTGATTGCTCTTTGAGTTATTCCTCCTTGTTTACTCCTGTCTCGCCCACGAGACTGAAAGCACATCAAGGCAGGGGCTATGATAAAGCCTCTTTGTGCTCAGTAATGGTGCAGGGCTGAACGAACAAGGTCAGGTCTGTCTGGACACAGGCATGGTCACTGAACGTTCTCAGCCCCGTAAGGCAGGGCGTCCCCCGGCAGCAAGCAGGGCAGGCACAAGGGACACGGTTTCTCTGAGGCACATTAAGGGCACGTTTAGAAAACCAGACAGGCTTTGAATAAAGGCAGATTGTTTGGTGACACATGCTCGTTCATAGACTGTGTGGTCCTTTCCCGTTCTTCTCATCGCTCACAACTTACTGGGTTCTCACTTGCTGCCGGCCTCTCTGATGGCCGCTAGGAGCGAGGGAAAGATGGAGAACGGGATGATTCAAGTTCAGGATCCAATCTGTGCCTCCTGTGGGGGCAGGCCACGAGGGGTGACCCTGCAGTTCTGCCTGCCTTTGCCTCCAGTCTGTTCTAAGTTGCTTTCCTCCCATGATGCTCCAGCTGGAAGTCCAGACTCCAGCTGGCTTAAGCAGATTTCTTTGCTTGCAAATACCAAGATATTTCAAAGCCTGGAAAATCACTTTATCCCTTTCCTTAAGTGAGGCCCTAACTCCCCACCACCCATATCTGTTCTGGTGTAGCTCCTTGAGGTGTGACATTGAAGTGACCCAGCGGGCATCACCCATACTCCCCAGGCCACCAGCGTGAGCTGCCGAGGTGGGCAGGCTCGCTGAGGCTGTCTCCCCACCAGTCTGAGGTCTGTGGATTAGGCTTCTTGGTCAGAGAGCTTCAGACGGCAGCAGCAGGGCAGGTCCCTGGGGAGGACAGCAGTGTCTGTGTGGCCAGCTGGGAACCAAGGACCTGCATGAGTGGGGCTGCCTGGCCTCCCAGCAGCTGATGTATGTAATTATTAATTTTCATACAGATAGTTTTATTTTCTGCTTATTTACGTGTATCATCAGTACTCATAAATGTTATTGTTGAGTCTTCATATTTCCTATTTTAAAATATTCACAGCACCACACCTTAGCACTTTGGACACAGGGATAGCACCGCACACATGATGTTTTACCTACAGACTTGCCATTTTTCCCTGCAGCACGTTCCCAGGAAGGGAATTACTGTGTAAAAAGAGATGGATGTTTTAATAGCATTGGAGCTGTGTTGCCCAAATTCTCCCCAAGAAGGCTGTGCTAATTGACAGGGCCCCAGGCAGTGTGTTTAAGCTGGTGCTCCCACAACCTCAGCCGTGGTAGATGTTATCACTTTTCGGATGTGTGCTAATTCAGCAGGTGCACGGGCACCTCCGGCTGCTCTAATGTGCGTTTCCCTGATGACAGCCAAGAGGAACGTGTCCTCGGTGTTGATCTCCTCCTAGGAGCGTGCCCTTGGCAGTGGCCTCCCTGCCGGGCAGACCTGGGTCTCAGTCTGCCTCCCTTTCCACCTCCCTGCCTTGTTCAGTATGTCATCTATTGTGGTCTTTCCGCTTCTGATTCCCGACTTCCTCTGGTTTCTCACTGGGCAGGCACATTGCTGGTTCATGGGAGTCCTGGACAGGCCCTGACATGGGCTGGCTGGACCTGGACACCCTAGCCACGGGCCTCTAAGGCCTCTCTCCCACACTGAACTCATGTGGGCCCTTCTTTCCACCAGGGACCCTTCAAGAACTTCTTTTTATTTCTCCAGGTAACCTCATCTGGGCCGATTTCCCAAGAAATGGCTGGGAGTGACCTTGCTGTCCCTCAGTGACCTCTCCAGTGAAGCGTTCAGGCTCTCCGCCCTCAGAACAAGTGGACCTGCCACGTGGACCTGCGTGTCCTGGCAGTTGGGGATGCAGAGGTCCCCAAAGTCCAGACACGTGGACAGCAGAGGGACCCACAGTGATGACAGCAGCTCAGCCTCTCTTCCTGCCCCCTGCCTGAGGTGGCAGGAAGAGCTCACCTCTCAGGCAGAAAATCCAGTCAACCCAGGTGGATGGGCAGCTGCCAGCACTCCATGGTGTGGCAGGGACAGCACAGGGCTGGCACACTGCCCCACTTCCAACAGCATTGACGGTTCTTAGGCACTTGTGAAGGCAGCTCTCCTCAAGGGAAGTCTTTGCAGATGCACTGGGGGTGCCCTGTAGGTGGCAGTCTCTGCTTCCACGTGCTGCACCTGCTGTGGCTCGTTGCTGGGGCAGGAGTCTCTGCTGTCACCTCTTGGGCCCCTCAGTTGTTAAAAGCCAGAGAGAAACTCAGACATCGAGTTCTATGCTCTTGTCTTATTTATACCATTTTTAACACTCAGCTCTTTTAAAAATTACTAAAAAGTAGTGCACACCTATTCTAAAATATTGGGAAAATACAGAAATCAATTAAGGAGAAAATATAATCATTGAGATCATATAGTATATATAATTTGTATCTGTTTTATTCACTTAAAATTAAATTATAAGCATTGTCAACATAATAAAATGTTCTTCATAAACACTTCTAGTGACTGCATAGGAGTGTTTTTGAGTGGACACACCATAAATATTTACTGTTACCTAAATGTTGGGCATTTTATTTTTAAGTTTTTCAAGAGCATAAAAACACATTGAAGTAAACAACTTTTAAATATAAACCTTTGTCCACGGTTTGATTTCCCCTTGGGTTAGATTCCTAATCCTAGGGTGTAAACATGTTTTAGGACTTTGCATATGTATTTCTATTTTGCTTTCCAGAAGGGTGCACTAATGCATGCCCACCTTACTACACAACTACACCAAGAAATACCATTTTAAAAACATTTACTGACTTGAGAGACAGTGAGACTCTTGATCCTTTCAATAGGTGAACTGACACATGGCGAGGAAAGGGGACATAGCTGGGGCACTCTAGGAGTGTCACCTCATGCCACCCTCACAACAGCCCACGGTCGTGGGGGAGGGGCCAACGTATAGGGAGGGGGAACCTGCCCCATCTCATGCTTGTCCACTAAGAAGGGGAGCCCTGGGCGACTGCTCGTGGTTGGACCCCAGAGCCCTTGCCCTTCACCTCTGTTCTCTCACTGCTGTTCCCAGACAGATGTTGAACGGTGGTTTGGGGCCAAGAGATGAAGGAACTCGGAGTCTGGATTTACCCTGTAAACAGAGGGGCACCATTAATGGGCTCTTAAGCATCAAGACTATTTTACAGGGATGTTTCTGGGGGACTGGCAGGGGGAGGCGGAGACAGGCCGCTGCGGGGACTCAACCTGCAGATGATGTGAACAACTCAGAGGCTGCCCGGACGCATGTGGGCCGCGGGCCACGGGCAGCCAGGAACACGAGGGGGGCTAGGGAGGCCTCCTGCTGTGTCACTGTGCAAAGGCCATTTTTATCTGCTACACGTCAGGCAAAACCTGTGCCAACCGCCAAGGACTCCACCTCAAATCTAGCAAATAAGAGAGAGGACGGTATGGATTACGTTATATTTAAAACAAGCCCACACAATGCCTGTAATTTTTTATTCTGACTCCATAATTATAGCTCAAGACCAGTCAGATCATAGTTATCCCCACACCGACCTGCTGTTGGGACACATGGAATTAAAGGCTTTGCTGCTCCAGATTCTATTTTGGATGCCGAGCGCTGGCAGGTAACGGGCCTTTCACAAGGCCCGTCTTGTTGGGCCCTCCTGGAGCAGCCTGCATAAAGGCCAGGCAAGTCAGCACCAGGCTTTTGAGAAGACCACTGAGGCTTGTAAGTAACTAGGATGCTGCAGCTTCGCCCTCCTGAGCCGGGGGTCCAGAGAGCTGAGAGAAGCACCATCTTCAGAGCAGGCCAGCCTCCCTCGGTCAGCCGATCTCAGAGCCTCTGCGCTCTAGAAGATGCATGAATGCTGCTCTCCCCAGCCAGCCAGGGTCTGGGGGTCCAATGAACCAAGCCCTGGATGTTGGGCACAGTGTTCACAGATGGGCTGACATTGCCCCAAGGGGCCTAGTTCAAAAAAGAGCAAGGCAAAGGAGCATGCAGGCCTGGGCCACTGTAGGCACCCCTCCCAGGGGACTGCACCTCTCCCTATCTTGGGCCCCACCAAAGAACACCGCCTCTCAGCCCCATGAAGACAGCCCTGACAGAGCAAGAGTTGGGTTGGGTCCCTGCTCACAGACCAGAACACCACTGCCCCTTCCTCCACTCGGCCCTCCCACCACCAGTCCTGCCTCCCGGTAGCCTGTGGAGGAGACAGAACAGCTCCTGTTTATCGATCATCTGCAGTAGGCCCTGTGCGTGCACCACCTTTTTCACTCCCATCACCACTGCCAAGTAGGTGTGACTGCTGTTTCCATGACCCCCGCTTTAGGCATGAGTGAATGGAGCTCCAGGAGGTGAAGTGTGGGGCTCAAGGCCACCCAGCTCGTATATGGAGTGGAGCTGCAGCCCTGTTGTCCAAAGTCCCCAAAGCACACAGATAACCAGCCTGAAACCACCAATTCCACTCCCGGTTGCTGCTTGGTGGTTCCATGGCCCTGGGCAATGCATTAAGCAAGCACTTGGGCTTAAGAAAGCCCAATCCCAGTATATATTCTTAGCACTACTCTCCTGCTGCACATGGCCCCCCGCCTCAGCCGAGTGCTGGGACAAGCCAGACAGTGCCCTGTGCAGACCCTGGTTCTTATGTCCCCTCAGAGAGTGGATGGTCCCCTCTTCTGGCCTCTGATGCATCTTACACACACTTCTAACATTTAAGGCGTTGCTGTCACCACTCACATGCTCTCCTCCTAGACTTCTCAGAGCAGGGCCTGTGTCCTGTCTGTTACTACTTTAACACCCAGCACACAATAGTTGCTTGCTGTTTGTTGCAAGAAAAAAGAGTCTGGAAAACTCACATGCATTCTCCGAAACTGCTTAGTCTAGATCCCGGGAAGCCTTTGCTGACTGGCACAGACTGAGTTGACCCTGGCCCCTCCTATACAATGTGTGGGAGGACCCTTCACACCCCCCAGGGCAGGGACAGGACCTGCTTCTTCCCTGTGGCCCCATTCCCTGGCACAGACCAGGCACCCAGCATCGGGGAGGAAATGTAGAACTGAGTTGCTCTTTGCTTCGGAGACCCAGAATAAGGGCACCGTGACCGGTTCACCAGGCTAAAACCGCCACAAACTGGCATGCCAAGGGTTTTGCTGAGGAAGGGAACTGAAATAACTCCTAACTTTAAAAAGGAAACACACCCAATAGGTATTCTATTTATGTGAAAATCAGCTCTGTTTTTAGGTATCTGCCCTCCTGCCTCACCTCCCCAAGGTGGGCCCAGCTGTCCCATGGGTCCCCTTACACCCCACCCAGTAATCATGGCCCTACCTGCCCCATCCCCTCCCCTGTTTGCTCTCCGGGGTTTCCCTCGATTGCAGGGTGTGAGCTTCCAGACGCCCCAGAGGCCTGTCTCATGCCCCAGACTCCCTCCCTCCCTCCCAGACCTGCTGTTCTAATCCCAGAGTTTCTAAAGAGCAGGCCAGAGCCAGGGCCCATGGGCCCCGGTTGGGGAGAGCAGGGAGTCAGTCTGTGACTGGGCCACCCCCTGGCTGAGCCAGAGCAGGGCAGATCCACACTGGGTGCACAGGAGCCAGACCCTGCTCCATCCAGTTCTCTGAAAAACCAGCAGGACCCTGCTGCCTAGGTGAGTTGAATCTCGGGGTCCACTTGGCACAATGAAGAGAGCAGCTCACAGTTCTGGTTCTGGTTCCACCAAGGCTGCCAGCATTTAGCTCACCTACCTCCCTAAACTCCCCCCACCTCAGACCCTCCCTGGCTAAACAGACACATCTGCTGTGCTAATCTGTTTTGCGTGCACCATCTTGTTACTCCCATCACCGTGAGGGTCACACCATGAGGCAGGGAAGGCCAGGGCCAGCCACTTTGGTGGTGGGACTGTGTGGGAAACCCCACAGGGTAAGGAATGCACAGCAGAGAGCCGCACTCCGCTCCCTTGTCCCAGAGACCCCTGGGCCTGAAGGAGCACCTGGCTCTCTAGCAAGGCCCTTGCTCCTCACAGAGGCCAACTAGGACATAGGTACTGGGGGGTGGGGGGGGCCTCCATATCTGCCAGCTCCATCCGGCCTGAAACCTTGCTCTGGGAAGGGACCAGGACAACCCAAGATGAGGTGGGGCCCCGGCCTTGCACAGCCTCAGGCAGGCCCCCCACCAGCCGCAGCTGCGGTTTCCAGAGAGCCAGGCCTCCCGCCACAGGGACAGTAAACTGAGAAGCACTGTAACTATAAATGTGAAGTGGCACACCACAGGACACTGCTGCAGTCCCCCAGAGGCCTGCCTCCCAGCCTCCCTGCAAGCCACAGGGCCCAGGCCAAGCCTCCCCAACAGCCCAGACCTGCCTGCTGGCCTCCCAACTCAGCTCTGAGCAGGGCCTTGGGAGCCCCAATGGAGGTCCGGGGCAGAGGGTTGGCAGGACACTACACAGCACTTTGTACACCAATAGTCGGGGCCTCTGCTTGCACCTCATGAGCACCTCTTGTTTTATGTTATCCAAGAGGAGGGAGCCCCATAATCTTTTTGGAGCTTAATGCTTCTAAAGGTCTTATTCCTGCCCTGGGTGGCACTGAACCGCAGTTTCAGACCCTCCTGGAGGTTTCCTCGAGCACAGTCAGGGTGACCTTGGGGTGGACCTGGGGCTCACATGGCTCTGACAGTCATCCTCATAGGTACCGCCGGAAAGGAGACCCAGGAGTGGCATGCACAGCTGACCAAATGAGAGCAGCCCCTTCACAAAGTGCCCGGTGCAGGGCCAGCTCACAGCTCTCAGAACCTCCAAAGGGTCGTGGCGCCCATTTCACAGGAATGGCCTGTGCCTGGTTCTCCCCACTTCTCCCCTAGTTCAGGCCTGGCCCAGAGCGCAGTGCCAGGCCAGGAGCAGGGGCCCCTGTGCAAAGGTCTGGGGAGACAGAGCCAGGGAAGGAAGACCCCTCATTCTCTGCCCTCTCAGAGCTGGCCAAGGAAAGGTGTCTCCTCTAATACCTACTCCACTGAACAGACTGCCCCCTATCTCAGGCCCCTCCCACCTGACTAGGGCACTGGCCAGGAAAGGTAAGGTCACCCTTTGCTTGTGTCACCTGCCCTGCAGGAGAGCTCAGAGATGAGCCCTTGGGTCTCTGCAGAGGCCCCACACAGAGGGACTGTCTGGAGCAATGTCCCATCCATCTCTCTGGGCCAGAGCCCTCTCAGGGAGAAGGATGGGGCTGGATGCCTCGGAAGCACTGCCAACCAAGGCAGAGGTCCTCCCAGGAGATTGTGAAGAAGAGCTCTGGGCTGGGCGATGAGGAGCAAGGGGCCTCTGGCATCACTGCAGGCCCCTGGGTCCCCCTGCAAGGGCAGTGGCTGGGGCCTGGTCCCCTGCAGGCAGCCTCGCCCACCCACATAAGTCAGGCATTTTCACTTCCCAAGTCCATCAAGAGGAAAAGTGAAAAACAGGCTGGGCAAATGTTTACTATAAAACATTTAGAATTTCTTATTTGTAAGAAACTTTTAAGACTGTACAGGAGGATATAAAAGAAAGCCTCACTATGTAGAAAAACATCATTTTATTGTGTAGGATGATTCAGTATTGTCATCTCACACCTAAGGCAATCCACAAATCTGTTCTGATTCAGTCATTCACTCAATATTTATTGAGCACCTACTGTGTACCAGGTGTATTCTAGGCACAAGGGAAACAAGAGAGAACAAATCAGATAAAAATCCCTGCTGGACAAAATAAAGAAGAACTAAAGGAGTAAGTTACATAGTATAGTAGAAGATGAAAGGTACAACAAAGAAAAATCAGGAACAGTACAAAGTGTAGGACAGGTGGGGGGATTATAGTCTAAAATAGGCTGAAAAGTAACATTTGAGCAGAGGTTCAAGGGAGGGGAGGGAGCAGGAATGTTCTTTGCATGCTCTAGGACCATGACTTCCAACCTTTCCACCTCATGGCACACATAAACTGATTACTAAAATTCTGCATCACACCAAAAAAATGTATTTTTGCCGATCTGATGAAAAATTAGGTATGATTTTATGTTGGTTCTTATCATTTTTTCATTTGACAACCTAAGGGAAAAGAGGTCCGTGCCCCAGACTAAATAGTCAGGCATTGAGTGTTTTAATGATTCTTGTGGCACACTGGTATGCCATGGCACAGCGGCTGAAAATCGCTGCTCTAGGAACATGAAGGAGGACAGTGTAGCGAGCTCAGAGTGAGTCTGTCTGAGACACTTGGCAATGCCTGCAAACATTTTTCATTGTCACAGCCAGGGCTGGGAGGTGCACGGTTGCTATTGGCATCTGGTGAACACAAGCCAAGATGCTGTTTAGTATCCCACAGTGCACAGAACTGCTCCCTACACAAAAGAATGATTTGGTCCAAATGCCAGTAGAGCTGAGGTCAAGAAACCCTGGAGAGAGAAAGAAACAGTAGCAGGAGAGAGAGCCAGAGGGGTAAATGCCAAGCAGGTTTTTCTTGGAACTAGAGAAGCTGATTCAGAAATGCTTATGGAAAAATATGTGAGGATAGCTAGGGGGAGTAAATTAAAAGGAATAAACAGTAGCTTCACCAGATCTTAACATGCATGATAAAGTCCTAATTAGACAAATGACTGATCCCTCAATATATAAAGAGTTCTTGCAAATAAATAAGAAGAGGCTTTTTAAAACACTCAAAAAATGAGAAGAGAAACAGGGAATTGACAAAAAATACACAAATGGCTTATAAATATGTGAAAAACATTCAATGTTGCTTGCAATTTAAAGTAATAAAAATGAAAACCATGAGAGAGCATTTTTCAACAAGCAGATTAGCAAAGACTGAGAAGTTTGTGCAGTTGCCAAGGGTGTATTAGAGTGAGGCCTCATGCATAGTTCTCGAGAATATACATTGGCACTGCCTCTTTGGAAAGCAATTTGGCAGTGTGTCACATACTTAAATACATGTACTCCTTGATCCAGCACTTCATTCCAGGCAAGTATTCTCCTCCCGTAGATACACAAAGATGCAAGTACAGACCTGTTTATTACAGTGTTAGCAAAAAACTGGAAATGGCCCAAATGCCCACTAGTAGGGAACTTGTCTATCATGCAGTATATGCTGATTGTGCAAGGGAACCCTATCAGCTCTTAAAAAGATGGAGGCTCACTCATAGGCACACATCCAAGAGCAATGAAAACACATGACCACAAAGAGATTTATTCAGAGGATTTAATAACAGCTTTATTCATAATAGCCCCAAAGTGGAACAACCCAAACGTCCATCAAAGGAGAATAAACAAATTGCGGCATATTCGTACAATGGAACACTCCTTGGAAACAATACAAAAGGAATGAATGGGTACACACAATAAGAATGAATTCCAAAAGCACAATGCTAAAAAAATAAATCAGACACAAAAGAGTATGTATAATAGGGTTCCCTTTTCACATCATTTACAGGAAAAGCAAACACCTCGAAACAAGGCAGAGCGGCGCTGGTCCTGGGAGGGCACGGATTACCGGAAGGAGCAGGAGAACTTCCGTGTGCAAGGAGACGGAAGTGGGTGTTGCTGGCACAACGTGTCTGCGTCACCCAACTGAACACTTAGATCGGTGCGATTCACTGAATTTAATTTTGCCTCAATGTAGAATCAAAAATTATTGAATTAAAAAGAAAACAGCCTAGTCAAACTTAATATGTCCTGAAATGGAATGATCTCTAAATAAATTTACCAGGGTTGCGGGGAGGGCAACGGAGTTGGGGGGTGGCAACAAGGGAGGAAAACGTGCTGGTGTGCGCCCAGATGGCACACAGAGGACCTGCATCTATGACGTAAGCTCGTGCGTACGCTTCATCTCCAGGGGAACGTGTGAGGAGCTGCTCGCTGCTCACAGTGTATTTCTGGAGAGGGATGGAGGTCTCTGCATTGGGCGGGGCATGTCTTAGCACTTTTCGTACTGTTGAAATTTCTTCTGTGTTCATATGTTTTTAAATATAAAACTGAGTTGAAGTTTCTAAATTGAGCCTGAATTTTAGTATCGCTCTACCCTTGGTGGCTGGAAGCAGGTACGTGGATGCTGCCCTGGGACTGCCTGCGGCTGGCGGCGGACAGCTGTGTCTCCAAGGCTGGGGTGGGCGTGCGGACAAGCAGATCCAGGAAGCGCTGGAAGACATTCCTTGGGCGGGGAAGTGGGAATGGAAGCCCTGGCTCAGGACACTGGAGGGAATAAACTGACTATCGGATGGCCTGGCTTTCAGCCTGAAGTGATAGCTTTCTGTTAAGGAATGTAAAAACGCACCCTATTTAAGATTCATCTTGATGCATTTTTTTTAATATGAAAAGAAGCTTCTTTGGTGGGTTGGGAGACAAAGTTTGTAAGAGGCTATGGGACTAGGGGGAGAGAGTCCTGGAGGAGAGTCCTGAGCTAAGAATAGGACTGACTGAGCTAAGAATAGGTATAGTTTTTAATCAATCAGCTTTTGGTCTTTTTTCCACAAACAAGAATATGCCATCGAGGACCTTACCCAAGAATGTCTGTACTGATTCTGAGAGCTGCATTCTGTGCTACTGTCACGATTCCCTGCTCGGCACCCAGATCAAAGGCCTCACTGTCCATTCTCCTTGTTAGTGTTCGAGGGAGGAGAGAGAACTTCACTCGTCCCAGAAGATGCCCTGCTCAGTGGTCCTGCCAGAGGAGGCGGCCCAGCTCTTTCCCAAAGGGAGTTCTCTGCTCTGAGGGACAGGAAGGGAGCCCAACTGTGGTATCAGAGGGTAAGGAACCCAGGGTCCTGACCTTTGGAATGCATAGAATCCTTGTAAACTCCTGGCAAAACGGTTGAGAGAAGTCCAAAAGTCTGATCCAGATGCCTTAGAGAGAACTGAAGGGTCTTGGGTAGAACCCCTTCACGAAATGTAAGAGGCAAAATATGGATGAGGAGAAGGTCTGAAAGGGCTTTCAGCAAATGGTTAAGACCCAGATGGGCACAGGGAGCCAGCTGTGTGCAAGTGTGGGGTCTGAGGCAGTGTGGGGACTAGGGGCAGGACTGCATTTGGCCTGAGCAGATGAAGGATCAGATGGGGTAGGGGGAGACAGGCCCTTGCAGATCCTCTAGTCCGGCCTCTCCCTGGGAGAAACTGAGGCCCAGAGAGTGGACTGACTTGTGTCAGGTGTCAGGGCTGAGCTCAGTCAGGACTTGCACTCTAGCCTCCCCGTCCAGTGGGTCTCCTGGAGTCCTGGCCTTTGGGAACTATAAGCAGAGCCGAAGCCCTTGACCAGACCACTACGTACTCTCTTACCATTCTTACCACCTAGGAATATGTTTCTACTGAATTCCATGGCAGCCACTCAAGCAGGCTGCAGTGAGGGCAGCCCTCTGAAAGGGTCATAACGCCAGATCCTGCTCATCACCTACCCAAGATCTCCCCACTTTTTTCCTGCCAGAACCCAGATTTTGTGGTGGATGGAAACTTCACCATTACAGGAAGCATAGGCCAGCTCCCCAAGCCCAAGAGATGGGTTCTAATTGGTCTCATGATATTCCAAGTATCCACTGTCAATGATTGGCCTAAGGATGACCATATGACCTCGTACTGGCTAATAAGACATAAAGGGAAGTCAGTAAGGGCTTCTGAGAAAGTTTTTGCTTTCCTAAGAAAAAGGAAAGATGAAACAGGCACTGTCAGGCCCTCACCCCACATCTCTTTCTTCCCGCCTTCAATACAGATGTGTTTGTAGCACAAGGGTCAGGCGTGGAGTTAAGAAAGGCAGGATGCCCTTAGGATGGTGGAGCCCAAGTCCTCAGTGGCCCAGGCGAGCTGCTGGACCATTATCAGCACCTCTCTACCTCCAGACTTCTTGTTAAGCAGACATTAAGCGTCCTTAGGGTATAAGCTACTATCAGCTGGGGTTTTTTTCTCTTGCTCGTAGCCCAAAGCAATCCTGATTGGCACTGGCCAAAACTGTTAGCAACTCCAGCCAACTTCAAGAGACGCTGAATAGAAATAACCTTTGATCAGCTTCCTCAGGCCCCCACCCAGCTTTCTTGTCAACCCTCAGGCAGGTGGAATCTGGTAGAGTCCTCCACCCACCTCACCACACCCCCCCTCATCAGCCTGGCCAGTCCTACTCATCTTTCAGTGCCCACCTTGGATGGCCTTCACGGACCTTGCCCACTACCATAAGGCATGCATCTCACTGACCACTCTGATCACTTGTTTATTTACCAATCACACTTATGGTGGCCTGCTCGGAGTCTGTCACGGTGCTGGCACTGGACCCAGTGGGCAGGGTAAGTCCTCCAGGAGCCCACAGACTGGCTGGCAGATAAGCCCACAGCAGTGGCACAGAGAGCAATACTAGGCGGTGGATCAGTTTCAGCCCAGTGCGGGAGCAGGTAGCCACTTCCATGCTTCTCTCTCCAAATGCTTTGCTTCTTCAGGCAATGCTCAGCCCTGTCTGTCCCAACACTGTCCTGAGCCTGTCTCAAGAGGTGGTGGCAGAAAGGGCTCTTGTTCCATGATCTTCCCTGAGCAGGCAGGGCCTTGGGGTGGACTTGCTCTTGGCTGCCCACTTTTCCCTGCAGGCCTTGTAAGGCCAAGACCCTCAATGACTAGAGGAAGGAGCAGTGGACATGGAGGCTGAAGATCCAAGTGCCACTACCTCGATGTGTGATGGGACACATGGCTTGCTTGTTTCTCTGAGCCCAGCATTCTTGGAAGACAAACACAGATAATAATACCTGCCTGTGCCACAGGGCTGCTGCGAATGTCAAACAAGCAAAGTGGTGGATGCACCAGCCACAGGGAGGCCTGGCATACAGGAGGTGGGCAGCGGCTGTCCATGCATCTGCCTGCCCCACCGTCCACACACAGCAAAGCACCAGAGACAGCACAGCGCACCTTCCCCTGGGGGGCAGATGGGGTGGTCAAGAACTTTCCCACCCAAGGAACCAGGTACACACTCGGTCCCTGAGGGGGTTTCCTTGGGTTCCCATACTTTCTCCTGCCCTGAAAAGGGCCATTGTTGGACCTCGTGTGTCTGCCCCTGCCTCCCTTCCAGAGCAGTGGCAGGAGGAAAGAAAATGGGGTTACTGGGAAAGAGGGTGGGTGTCACTCACATTCCATCACAGGGGTTCTGAGGGTTCCCACAGCCATTCGGGGTCTTTGCTCCAGCAACCTCCGGTAGATCCACTCATGGGCAGGGGCCATCTGCTCAGGGACTACCAAGTAGTGCTCATTCTCCATGATGCTCTGTCACCACCAGGCATGGCCGCAAAGGCCAGTCAGCAAAGTCAAGGCTCCCCCCGGGGGTGCTCAGACCCTGGCAGGACAGACCAACTCTGAAGGGAACCTGCTCTTGGCAATTAACAGCTGCATCCACTCTGGGCCTGCATGCGAGGGAGGACCTAGACACTGACTGTGACCCCAAAAGTGCCATCATTGCCCATACTTGGAGTGTGATCCCAGCTGTGTGGGTGGCAGGAAGAGCATCTCCCAGAAGAGCCAAGCTGACCTGCCTGGAAGAAAAGGGGGTGCAGGAGGGCCCCAGCCCAGTGAATGTGGGCCCAGAAAGCAAGAGGTGCAGGAGTTGAAGGCGGTGCAGTGGGAAGGTGGGGAAGGGGTCCATTTGTCAGGTAAGATGGAGTGAGGAACGGAGGGGAGCTGGTTCGCCAATGGCGTACCGTGGGTGACGTCGTCTGGAAGTCAACTCAAATTCCTCGTCCTTTGCTGGTGGCACTACACTTGTGGTTCCAGGAGGCTCTGCTTCCCACTCTCACTCCAGCAGCAGGAAGCTTCCCAGGACCAGACATTCTGTCCCTGGGCTGGGTTGTCCCTTCCAAGTGACAGGAGTGACCTGAGGCAGCCCAAAGTCAGCAGCAAGAGGCATGGACTCTGGAAGGTAGTGTTTTCACTTCCCAAGCTGGGATCTGATTCCCATTTAGAGGATCCTGGGACCAAGCAAGTGGACATCAGAGCCCAGCGTGAGGCCAGCACGAGGCTGAGCTGGGGCAGGAGCCGGCGTCCTAGTCCCTGTGCAGCCTGCCTGTCCCAGAGATGACAGCAGGCCCCCAGGAAAGACGGGTGCCGGCTGCCTCTTGGGAGGCTCCCTTCACGTCTGAACCTGCCCTCCAGCCACCCCACCCTGGCTATGACCCTGTGGGGTGTGGGCATCACAGGGTCTTTGGGGTGTGAAACCCAAAGTTCAGCTGGAAGGCATGCTGGAAGGTTCGGGAGTCCTCAGGATGGCAGGGCCTGTGTTATGGTCTCGTGGCTCTTCCTAAGTCTTGATATGTGTCACATTAGCCCAGTCAGGGAAATGATCCAGGTCAAATATGACCCGTCCCCAAGTGTTCACCGCCAGAAATACAGAGAAGACTCCAATTATGTTCATCATTAGTCCTGTTTTCACCTGGAAAAAACAGGACCAGAGTCAGCACCCCAGGGTCATGCAGGGCGTCAGAACCGAGGGGAAAGGGAGGCTGGGAGCCAGTGCTTGGAGAAGGGGACAAGGGCTGGTGTGCTGGGCTCCCGTCCCTGGGCCATGCTCTGTGTCCACCCCACCCTCAGACAAAGCAGTTTCACACCTAGCAAGTATTATCGGTGCTCAGAGCATCCCCAGGAAACAGGCATGATTTCGGGTTCTCTGCCTATCTGGACATTTGCAAAACTGGGCCTCAGGGAAGTGATATGAGGCCACACCCCAGGCCACTCAGGGAATTACTGGAGGAGGCCAGGTCTGACTCCAGGTCCCGTGCTGCCCCCAGCCCTTCACCATCGCACTGGCACCTGTTGGCTCCCCAAGAGCCCCCCGTGGCTCCCTCTGATGCCAGCTCTTTCTTTAGGCTCGCTAACCACTGCTTTCAAGCCCATGTAGACTTTTTACTGGGGGCTGGAGCTGAGGTTGTAGTCCACGGCTTCTGGACTACCCCTTCCTTTCAAAAATGCTCTACAGAGTCGAAGACACCCAGCAGAGGCTCTGTGACAACTCACCCCCAACTGTGTTGGGGTAGGGACCTCCCTTTCTGGCCTGCCTCCTCTCAGAGCTGCCCGCCTTCTCCTGTCAGGGGCGATAAAGCCAAAGCAGAAGCGAAGAGTCCCTCCTCTGGCTGCACTTGTTTCCGAGTGTCCTCTGCTCCCAGGCCGTGGTCTCTCGCTCCCTGCCCATACTTCATGTCTGCAGACACCTCTGTCAACCTCTCTGGCTGTCATTAGTGTCCATCTGCCCCCGCCCCCCATCTCAGTCATGTCCCTCTTGACTGTCCTCACAGCTTCTGCTAGTGTGTGAAGTGCCCCATGGCTGTGTGGGGCCCACCTTCAGCTATTCTGAGTGTTCAGCGAGGGCTCCCTGGTGACTGCTCAGGCCCCTCCGGGTGGGAGATTCTATAACCCACCTCTCAGCTTTGGGATTCAGAACAGTATGAAATGTAAGATAATTTCAAAAAAGAAGACAAGCTGCATATAAGTGCAAATAATGAGGGGAGACTGAGACTTTTGGTGCTATTCCCAAATCATGTGACATCACGGGTCATTTACAAACAGGGCATCCCTGGCAATAAAAGCATCGGAGCTGATAGGAGTAAACAAAAGCGGCTGCATTACCATGTCAGAAACATTGAGGTGTCCGTAGGCAAACACGATGGCATTAGGCGGCGTGGCCACGGGCAGCATGAAGGCAAAGGACGAACTCAGGGTGCAGGGGAGCATGACGTACAGCGGGTTGAGGCCAATGATGCGTGACTGGGGGGAAACACAGCACTATAGTGTCACAGACATGGGAAACAAAAGCTCCTGGGGCCAGCACTCTGGAAAGCATCTCCCCAGTGCAGTGCACATTCCCACCTCTGCATCTCTGTGCCCTGGGTCCTCTGCCCTTTGCCACGCCTCTGGGCGATAACTCTGCTGGACTCCAAAGGCTGAGCTCTGAGCCCTCCCCCCCGGAGCCCTTTCTGAACCCCCTCAATTCATTCAACATATATTTCTTGGCCACCTACTATGTGCCAAAGACCCTGCCGGCCACTTAGACCACACTGAGCCTTGAAGTGTTCCTGCAGCCCACACATGCACATGTCTGTCTGTCCTGCTGCACACTGAGACAGCCCAGAGGGCAGGGGGGAGCACAGCTTCTCGCCAACAGATACATCTGTGTACATGTGTGTTTTTGTACACACTTGGGATCAGTTTGAGTACAGAATTCAGTATCAATCTTTTTTACTCTACAGCTTAAAATTCAGCCACATGTAATAGTTCCTCACAGACAGACACTCGTTAAATATCTGTTGAATGAGTGAATGATATCATAATACATTCATAATATCTGCCAATATCTACCAAAATTAATAACCTGGTGTGCAGACTGACGTGCACATGAGAGCAGACACATATGCAAGGATGTTCATTACGGTATTACAACAGCAGAGCACGTGGGAAACAGACTCAACAGCCATCCACGGCAGGGTGGCCAAATAAAACATGTACGTACAGACAATGGGTAGTTTGAAGCTGTAAAGAACTAAATAGGTTTTATGTGCTAACATGGAAAGATCTCTAAGATCTATAGTTAGATTTTTTAAAATTTAAGGTGCAGGACAAGACCATAGACCATTTGTTGATACCATTTGTTTGCAAGAGAGAGTGTGCGTGCAATACATCCAGAAAGATACCTAAGAAACTGATAACAGAAGTTGTCTCTAGGAGGAAGCTAGAGAGTTAGGGCCTATACTCTTTGGTATTATTTGACATTCGTAAGTCATGTATATGTATTACATTTTCAACTTAAAAAATTATACATGCTCCCATTTTACTAAATGTCCTTCAAAACTCTGATTTTTTAAAAATTGCAATATTGCATTTTATATTTCATTTGATAATATTACACTTATGAATATATAACTTATTTCATCAGTCCCCTACTATCATGGAAATATTTTATAATAAATGATTCTACAAAGTGCACCTTTGTAACACAGTCGACCCTTGAACAACACGGGGCTGGACAGTACGGGTCTGCTTACACGTGGGCTCTTCTCAGCAAACGTACACTCAGCCCTCTGTACGCCCAGGTTCCCAGCTGCAGAGCCAGCCAGCTGCAGCTCGGACAGGAGCCTGCCATGTGCAGAGTCAGCTGCACACACTGCTCTATGCCACTTTATGTAAGGAACTTGACATCCGCCAATTGGGACACCTGAGGGAGGTCCCAGAACCAGCCCCTGTGGATACTGAGGTACCACACTTAAGTTCTGTGGGGGCCACAGGTTACACATGGAATTTTGACTGCACAGGGAGGCTGTGCCCCTGACCCCTGTGGTGTTTGAGTCAACTGTGCGTGCTTGTCAGTATCTCCAGTGACTCCCTAAAACACTCACAACCACAAACGGCTGAGTTGGGGCATGGGAGCAGGTTTCAGGTTAGGGTTCCTATGGGCAGACAGGCTGCACCAAGTCACACTGCCCCCGGGAGAACCTGAGAGGTCCCAGTCAGAGGCCCAGTCTATTTCCTGGTGCCTCCATTTGTCCTGGCCTTGGGTACACATGGTGTATGTGACTCTGTGGTGAGGCTGGGGTATTACTGCCTTTTCCTTTGCCAGAGCTGGGTCCTGAGGCAGGAGTGTGAGTGGGCTTGGAGGTCACTGTGAGAAATCTTCCTGGGACTTCTGGTTCTAGAAAACCTTGTTTGGAAAGGCCTGGCCACCCCCTTGGGTTCAGAGCTCAGTTTGCCTGGCTTGGGGCCTACGGGGCTCACGGCTGGGGTTGGAGGTGACAAAGCCAAACCTTTGCCAGAGGAGGGAAGGCCTCACCACCCCATGCCCAGCATCGAAAGATGCTCCTTGGTGTACATCTGGGCAGCCTGCTTATGGGAGGGAGAGCTGGGGCAGCCACCTTGCTATTCCTAACACTGTCATCTTCACTTGGATTGAAAGGAGAAAACTGCTTGGGTTTGCTTTTTATACACATGGACACCTTGGAGGCCAAACAGAAATTCACCAACTGCAATCCCGTGTTCAGGTTTTTGTAAATGTGTCTCCCAACCCCAGAAGGGCAGCCACCGTGTCTCCCAGGCTCGTTCTGCAGTCTACGGGGGATCTTCATAGCCCTCGCCTTACTTGACCGTCAAGTGTAGGAGGGAAGAACTTAAGGGACAAGTTCAAGGATTCCAAGACTTGAACTCAGGTCTTCTGACCCCACGCCCAGGCCTCTTCCTGTGCCACCTGGAGGTTGGCAGTGCCATGTGTTGAGTGACAGAAGAAAATGCACAAAAAGATCACAGCCAATTTTCCTATAAGCTCTGCTTTAAGTGCCAGCTCAAGAACATGCTCTCCCATAGCACACTGATGCCTGACCCCCGGGTGCACCACACAAGGCTTCTGGGAATCTTCAGTCACACTCCCCATTTCCTTTACCTGGGCTCTCCATCTTCCCAGGACAGCCCCTCCCCCCAGCCACTCCCAAGCCCAACCTTCCCCGAGACCTCTGTGTTCCCAGCTCTGTATTCTCACACCTGCACTACATTCTCAGAGACCCTCAGGCCTTCCCTCACAGCACTGGTCCACTCCCCCTGGGCACGAGCCCTGCATCCCCATCTTGAGAAATAGTCAGTTACATTGACAAATAACTGTTGAGCACCTGGTTTATTCTTAGCACTTTGCCAGCAGTGGGAATACAAAAAAGAACCAGCAGAGCACCGAGGGCAGGCCCAGGCTCATCAAGGGCTCACCAGTCCTATCAGAGCCAGGGCCAGATGTGGTCTGGAAAGCCTGGTCAGGCTCTGGGCCCTGATTTCCCTGCCTCTCTAGGGACTTAGGACATAGTTCTGGGTTGGCAGCTTCCTATGAAATAATGGTTAAGGGCCCTCAAAACCCAGCACGGTTACTTACCATGGAGGCAAAGATGGGCAGGAACAGGGTGGTGGTGGCCACGTTGCTTGTGCACTCAGTGCATACAGCAATGACCGAGGACAAGATCAAGGTGATGGCTGCTGGGGGCACGGCGTGCAAGGGCTCCATCTGCTTCCCCATCCACTCGGACAGCCCTGAGACCTGGGAAACACCCGGAGGGCAGGCACCAAAGGGCAGCTGGCTTACAGTTCCTATAGGCCAGAAGGGACCCTCACCCTTCCCCAGGGAGCTCAGCCCATCCTCTACCTCTTACTCTCTCTGCATACATTCCAGGGGTGACCTCATCCATGCCCACAATTTCACTCTCCATCCTCATTCTGCTGTCTCCAGGATCTGTGTTTCTAGCCCAGCTGGTTTGCTGTCCAGACTTACATCTATACTCCTTCCACAAGTTTCCACCCAGATGTCTCATGAGCAAGTCAGACTCAACATGTCCCTACCTGCATTCCTCCTCTCTAGCCCAGAGTCTACTGTTCCCCCCTGGGCTTCGCAGCTCAGGGAATGGACTCACTGTCCACCTGCTGTCCAACCTAGAAGACCAGGAGTCGCCCTGGGGAACCTCTGTCCCCCTCATTCCTTCCACCCAATCAGTCACCAAGTCACCCGAAGCTTCTCATGTCCATTGTCTCCTCTCAGTTCCCCACAGTTCTTGTAACTGAAGAGAGAAATTTGAGCCAGAACCTGGGGATCTGGATTTGGTGCTTTGGGCTGAGAAGAGATCGTCCAGGGGAGAGCATGCAAGTGAACAGGGAAGATGCCAAGGACAGAGCCTGGAGGAACACTCGCATTTAGGGGACACCAGAAGAAAATTCAGCAAAGGAGAATGAGAAAGAATAGTTAGAGCTGGAAGGAAACCAGGAGAGACTGGTTACTTGGGGACGGAAGGAGGAGAGTGTGGTCCTGGCGTCCAGCACTCTGAGGCTGAGTTCGATGAAAGCTGCAGAGTGTCTGCTGGGCCTCCCTCATCGCAGGCCCTGCCCAGGCCTCCACCCAGATGTCAGGGTGATTTTCCCCAAGGGCAGGTCTGTCCAAGTCACTCTCTGGCCTCAGCCCTCCAGTGGCTGCCCACTGCCTGCAGAATCAAGTCCACACTCCCTACCTTGGATTCAAGACCCTTGTGGAGTGGCCCCTGCTAGGCTCAGCAGCCTCACCTGTTCCTCAGCTAGGTACCACATACTTATTCCTTTACTGACATGCCACTCCTTCCTGGAATGCTCTTCCAGATATGTCCCCCTCTCTAGTCCGTGAAGTGCTCACGAACAAGGACCATATTTCAATCTCTTCTGTAATTCCCATGTCTGGGTTAACGAGGACATAAGAGAAGTGTCTGGTGAGTGAATGAATGATAGATGGCTGGATGACTGGGTAGAGAAGTGACTAGATGGATGGATTTGTTCACCCAAAACTATTTATGCACCAATCATGCACCAGGCTCTGTTCTAGATGCTGCAGAAAACAGGATAAGAAAATAACAAGACAGATTCAGTGTATCTATTACATTCTCTTCGTGGATGGACGGACACATGGGCGGATGCATGGAGGACAGCAAGCAGCATCAAGCTGGCTCACCCCTCCCTCTGGCTCATTTCTTCCCTATCAGGGCAGGGGGAGAGGTAAGAAAGTTATACTTTGGGGGTGTTTTTCTCCCAAAAGCTCTTTCTCCTTCTACACACTTATTAGAGAAAAATTTTTAAATGGCAACCACATCAACAAAGAGTTCGACAAGGAGAAAAACCAAAGGTAATGGTGGAAATCTCCATGAAAAATTGCAGATTTCCCTAGAGTGAATCAGAGTAAAGACCCTTATTACCAAATCCCAAAGGAGACCTCACAGCATCCTCTGCCTCTCTGGGGTAACCCAGGGTCACTTAAATTCACTCATTTCTGCAATCACTCAAAGAGCACTTTCTCTACTCCAGGCACCATTCATGGTGCAGGGCTCCTAGATCACAAGAGAGTCCTTGTCCTCAAGAAATGTGCAGTTAGTGGAGGGCACCATGCAGCACCAACCCAGGGGGGCAGAGTGGGGGAAGGCGGGTGCCCTGGGCTGCACACAGCTGGAGAAGTTACCTCACATCCTTTAGCCAGAGCAAATCCGCCCCCCAGCAGCAGCACGATGCCCCAGGGAACTTTCTCCTGGGTCACCTTCCAATCCAGCAGTGCAGGGGGATAAAACTGAGCTTTCCTTTCTGCAAAGAAACAATAAACACACACATACAGAGCCCAGAGCAAACTTATGAAGTGAAAACAAAAATCTAATCAAGAGGAACAAAAGTCTATAAGGACAATGAGTACCATCTTACATTTATACATTAGCTAAAATTTACAATAATTACTATACCCATTGCTGGTGAGAGTATGGCAAAGCTACTGCACACTCCTGGCAGCACTACAAGTTGGTATAGTCCTTTTGAGAAGCAACGCAGCAATGCATTTAAGAGCCACTAAGATATATATCCCCCAGCATCATCACTCCTAGAAATGATTCCTGAAGGAGAAACATCCTCAGAGAAAAGCTAGATACATGAACACATTACTTTATAATAATGAAAAATTCAAGACAGCTAGAATGTTCCATAACAAGAGAATGGTTACATCCCCTCCAAGCAATATAATGCCGTTATTAGAGAAGATAAATTTGAAGACTATGGCAATAGCAGGAAATGTTTACAGAGTAACCTCAAGCAAAAATATGAAAACAGAAACAATGAAGCAACTGGATTTAAATTGTGTGTTTTATTTATAGTCATATAATACATGTGCCTGTTAATAAAGACTGGGAGAGAGAGAAACCCTAAAATACTGATAGCATTGTGAAAAATTTGGCCCTGGCTGGTGTGGCTCAGTGGATTGAGCACCTGCCTGCAAACCAAAGGGTCACTGGTTTGATTCCCAGTCAGGGCACATGCCTGGGTTGTGGGCCGGTCCCCAGTAGGGGGCATGTGATAGGCAACCACACATTGATGTTTCCCTCCCTCACTTTCTCCCTCCTTTCCCTTCTCTCTAAAAATAAATAAAATATTTTAAAAAGAAAAATTCAAGACATATTTTCTGTTCTTGTTGTAATAGTAATATGATTTCAAATGTTGAAAAAGCAAAAGAAAAATTTTACACTAAACACTACCCAGGGAAGGCTTGAGAAACACCCTCTGTCCAGACTTTGTAATCTTGCCAGTCCTCTTTGATAGAGTAGGCTTTTCTCCTTCCTAAGCCCAGGACACCAACCGTGATGAATGGGAGGCTGGGACAGGAGACTTACCCTCCTCAGTCTGACTGCAGAAGTTGAACTTAGGCTTCTGCGAAGGCAGAATGAAGAGCAACATGGCCACCAAGATGGCCACCGTGGTGTCGGAGGCGTACCTGGGGGGACAAGAGCACACAGGATGAGCCAACTCAGCCGCAGTGGAAGTCACGCAAGAAACCTAGACCGCATCTAAACATCCCTGCATGGAGAAACAGGCTTAGCTGGGTATGAAAACTGGAATCCCGGAGGCCAAGGTCAGGAGAAGTGAATCCTGGCTGGAAACCAAGACTCTCCCACTCCTGGCCTGGCTCTGCCACCAGCACTGGGTGACCCTCAGGCAGCTCTCTTCCCTCTCACACTTATTTGCTTCCTGGGGGAGACTTGTGACCTCTTCGCAGTCAGATTTTCTAGAATTCTGGGTTCACCAGGTGGCCACGAACAGACCTTCAAAGTGGAGGGAGCAGCAGTAGGCAGCTCTGTCCCAACCTGCATCTCCTGCCTCTTCTAGGACATGCATGTTTCTCGGCCTTTCTTCCAGCTGACTCCCTATCGTCTTAAGCAGGAAAGAAACTACATATACCCCCTTTTGCCAAATTTCTGCCTAAAGAAGATTCTGGATCCTTGTCTTCAGATGGACTTGCTCAGCTCTGAAGAAAGATGAGAAAATAAAGGTGACAGAGTAGAGATTCAGAAGCCAGAGCTCCAGAGCTCCACCGGAGCCCCACAGATCTCTCTCCACCACAGCCCTGGCCTGGCCAAGTACTTTCTGCTCAGCCTGTTGGGGAAGGAGGGGCCACAGGGACATATCTGTGGGCTTGTCCGAAGACTGGTGAGAAAACATGAGTCCAGACACCAACAGAGTGCTTCAGAACTCATCTACAGAACAAAGGGGTGCCCTGGAGGGTGCTTCAGAGCCAACAACTTACTTTGTCTCGCCCTCCGTCCAGGCAACTGATAGCCAGCCAGGCATGAAGCCGGGGTCCCGGGAGAACCACAGGCCGATCAGCAGGAAGAAGCAGAACAGGACATTGACCTCGGCGAAGGAGATGGGCCCCAGGTTCCTGTACTCCTCACTCAGCACCTCGTGGGCAGCCTTTTCCTTATTCCTTCTCTCCAGTCCACAGCCCCAGGACTTAAAACTAGAGGATGCAAAGACAAGAGGACGGTGGGGCAGATTGGTTGGCTCGGGGGCTGGTCGTAAGGAAGCCTGAGCGTTGGCAGCGACCCTGGCAGAGAGGCCTGAGAAGGCACAGATGGGCAGCCCATATGGACCAGGCCATAGGGGCAATGGAGGCAGGAAAAGAGGGGGTGGTTAACAGGGTGGGAGGCTGAGAAGAACAGGTGGTGGAGGCAGGCAGAAGTATCGCAGGTGGAAATAAGCAGAACTGAGGCTGCCACTGGCTGGGGGACCTGGCAGGTGCTCAGTCATCTGGAGACCAGCTGTTCCTTTCATGTGTCCTCTGGGGAAGGGCCACGAGAAGTTCGGGAGCCAGTTCAAGGTGGAGCCAGGGCTCCCTCATATGCCCCCCAAGTCTTCCTCCTCCCACAGTGGCCTGGAGCCACATCCAGTGATTCCAGGATGCCAGGCCCCATCAGCAGGGTAGCTCAAAAGACACAAAGAACAAGGAGACTAGGCCAGGCAGGACCGGGGTGGGTGCTTGTCTTCCGAGGAGCTGGAAGTGCAGGACTCGGGATCCAGGAGCCTGGGGCTAGCAGCAGGCATGACCATGGCAGGAAGGAAGCCAGCCTGAGCCCCGGTCTTGGATGGGTTCCTTAGGGCCCAGTGCCCATTGTCCAATATGACCTGCCCAGGATGCACTGCAGGACCTCCTTTAGGGAGGTGCTGGCAGGAGGCAAGGAGGAGGAGGGTTCTTGGAAGAGGTATGGAGGGTACCTCAGCCATGGGGAGGGGTTAACAGGGCCCCTGGGACCCAGAATCCAGGCCTTGAGGAATTCTCTGAAGGATCCATGCACACTTTCCAGCCTGTCAGCCTGAAGGTGGTGGGCCCAGCCAAAAGGATGTCCCTGGAGAGCCCTCCCTATGGACGTCCCTCCCGAGGCCCTAGGACAGCCTTCATAGGAGGGCAGAAGGTCCTGGATTCGGGACCAAGATGCCAATTTCTGAAGCCAAGGCTGGACGTGAGCTGCCTGCAAGGGCCATGCTGGCGAGGGGACACAGCCTGAAGCACAGGACACAAGACGGCTGGGATATGGGTGCTCAAGAGTTGGGAAAGCAAGAGGCAGTGATGGGGTCTCATGTCTGCACAGCCTGCCACAATCTCTGCACTGGCAAGGGGGCAAGTCTGGACATCCAGAGAGTCACCTGCCAGGACACCCTTACGCCATCCAGCACAGCAGACTGCTGGTGTGGACGGTAGCCTCTCACCCTCCTGGTGTGGAAGTCTGTTTTGACCAAGAACCGATCTGCTGCCAACTGTCATTCTCGGGACTGTAGGACTTGGCCAGAGGCTTCAGGTTTCCAGGATGAGGGCTGACTCTGGCACTCCTGGCTGCTGGTGACTTGTGCTGACATTGCATGACTGTAGGCCCTGGGGGCTGCACGGCATCTGCACTTGTCCAGTGCTGCTCCCCGGCTCCCAGCCCCACGCCATGGTGCTGCCAAGCCTTCAGGAGCCTCTTAGGCTAATCAGTTTCACCCTCATCTCTGGGTCAATCCTGTCCTGTCCTCTGACCACTGGGCTGGCACAAGGTACAGACAAGTGGACCCAGGCTGCCTGCAGAGCCCACGGGGCAGGATGGGTACAAAGTGTCCTTCTATAGTAGAATGGTCTTCAGAACACTGAGGATGAACTGGTATAGAGCTGAGGAGAGAGTGAAGGGACCCCTGAGTCCCTGAGTGCCTCTGCCATGGCAGGGGTCCAGAAAAGCCCTCATTCCCTGACTGGGGTCAGCCCGGGCAGGAAAGCTGGGGCTGGGCCAGCAGTAGTGCCGCAGCGGTCCTGGGCTGTCTTGGGGCAGGGGTTCCGTGGTCCACTTGGTTGTCAATGGCCAAGGAGGTCACTCATAAATCAAAAAAATTAATTTTTCTGGATTAGGCCAACGGCGATGCCCCAACCTTGCTCTGCATGACCATCCAGATGAGAGTCACGTGAAGGCACAGCAGCGATGCTTCCCACAGCCAAGACAGGTGTTGCCCTGCCTCTGGTGAGGTGGTCCCGGAGGCCCGGAGGCAGGTCCTGGTGCATGGCAGCATACGGCCGGGCTGGAGGATGTGCCCTACTGTCCCATCATTCAAGCTGAGTATAAAGAGCTGCCCAAACGAGGCTTCCTGTGAGCCACCCCCACCCCTACCCACCACACTCCAAGCCTGGGTGGTGAGGCCCCTGAGCTGGAGCCACATGCCGGGAAGGTGGGTATCGGGGGCAGCCCCCAACCCAGCCACAGGTGGACTGCAGAAGCTCCAGGCTCCCTGCCAGTCAAGAAGCACCAGCGGAGGCCACCTCAGGCTGGGTGAAGTGCCCCGCACGCAGCACAGGTGAGCTCCCAAGAGCCCAGTGTCCACCTCTAGAGGCCGGCAGTGTCCTTGTGGTTGTGGGGCCAGGCCAGCTCCCTTGGCTTGCTCTGCTGGGGAGCTTGGTAGCCCTTAGGGCTCCGGGCCCCTCCCCCACCCCAAGCTGAGGGGAGGCTGAAACTGGTACCCGACACCAGGCTGCACCTAGGCCTCAAGGCAGCCAAGGGCTGCAACCTTCCGCCTCCCCAAGAGGGGACTGTGAGGGACTCAATTGTGCCCCCTAAATTCGTATCTGATGGTATTAGGTTTAGACAAGATCATGTAGTGCCTTCCTCTTCTGAGGAAGGCACCAGAGCACTCTCTCTGTGAGGACACAGCTGAGAACGTGGCCTTCTGCAAGCCAGGAAGAGGGTTCTCACCAGGAACCAGATCGGCCGGCACCTTCATCTTGAACTTGCAGCCTCCAGAACTGTGAGAAATAAATGTCTGAGGTGGAAGCCACCCAGTCTGTGGCATTTGGTGATGCCAGCTGAGCTGACTGAGACAAGGATGAAGGGTAGTGGGACCAGGCTCCAGGACCAAACTGCCTGGGTTCAAATCTCAGCCCCATGACTTCCAAGTCACACACCCCGGTGTAGGCCATTTATCCTCTCTGTGCCTCAGGTGCCTTATCTGTAAACTGGGGATAATAAGAGTATGCACCTCACACGTTGATGTGAAGATTAGTTAGCATATGTAAGAGTAATTAAAATTGTGCCTGGAATTTAAAAAGCTCTTAACAGGTATTGGTTGACATTATTACTATCGCCACGTGCAGCCTGCAACAGGTGTGGGGCAGGTCTCCTGTGGCCCACTGAACAGGTGTGAGGACTTGGGTCCTGCAGCAGGTGTGAAAAGCAGGGCAAAGGGCTTCATTCAGAACCAGGCTGCGCCCCAAGTGCGCACGGAGCAGCTTCGCCCTCCTGAGGCCGGCATGTGGGGGCAGTGGGTGGGTGGGGGGCCTCTGCAGCTATTGTGCTGATGCTGTGACCACGCTATGTGCAGATATATTTTTAATGGCGATTTTCAAAAGTTTTTTCCTTTAGGAGAAAACTTACAAAACTGCCCTTCTTTCCCCAGTTAACTCACAGGTTTTGGGGGGCACTTTGGCCTCTCAGCTCTTAGAGCCCCTCCCTCGGGCCACACAGGCCCATTTCTGGCTGTGGCTGCCTGCGGTTTAAGGCACAGAGCGCCTGGCTCACAGCTGAGTACCTTCCATACCAATGCGAGAGGGTCACCTTTGCTCCACAGATAAATCTGTGTCTCTTAAAGTCACAAGAGCATTTACAAAGTATTTGTCGGCCACACATTATGGTTTCTGTCCAAAGTCTGGCTGCTGACAAGGATGACTCTTGGTGAACTTGCTGTGTGCTGGGAAGAGGAAGGTGAACTTGGCAGAACTTTCCGCATGCCGCTGGGAACGTGTAAGCGTTCAGTAAAAGTTTGGGTTTCAACTGTTTGGACATTATCAGGTGGTATGCTGTGACCTCACCGCATGGACACGTGCAGCCAAGTGGAAGTTAGCCAGCGGTATTGATTTGCTCACAGGGACAAGATACCCTTCTTTTTATTGCTTTGACTCATGTTGATGGCTCGCTGGGCTTTCTCCCTGGGATGGGAGCTGGGCAGGGTGCCAGGGACAGAGAGCACTTACCACAGGCCTCAGAGGAGCTCAAGCTAGGGGTCAAGGGCAGCACTGGAACGTGACTACAGGTACTGAGGGACAGGGCCATGTGGTGCTCAGGGGAGCCCAGAGGAGCAAGCACAGGAGTCTTCTATGATGGAGTGGCAGGGGGTGAGAGGGTCAGAAAAGGTGTCCCTAAGGAAGCAGAATTTGAACTGGCCTTGAAGGCTGAGGAGCTTGAAAGGGAGGAAGACAGAGAATGGCATTCCAGGAAGAGGGAACAGCCTGTGCAAAGGCATGGTGAGCAGCCTGAAATGGCCAAAATGGGAGGGCAGACTGGCAGATGGTGGGGCTGGAGAAAAGAGCCAGACAGGAAGAACTCTGTGGACCCGCCTACTGGCTCCTCTGCAGGGGCATGACAGATGAGACTCCATCCCGAAGCAGCTCAAACTTACTTGAATCCCATATAGAAATACTGAAGCCACAACCAGGTGAGCACCAGCATGATCAGCATGTTGGGGAAGGCAAATCCAAACCAAGAGGCAAAGTTCACAGTGTCTTTGCTGCCAGGAAACAACCTGAAGGGAGAAATACCAGGCCACAGCTCTACCTGATGCTGAGCCAGAGAACAAGCAGGCTAGTCCCTGTGGGTACAGTGCGGGCAGCGGCTGGAGAGGTGCCCTGAGAGATGGTCTGGAAAGGAGGTCTCATCCACCTGAGGCCCAGCCATCTGAGTCCCCCACCCAGTGTTACCCCGGTCAGGCTTGGGCCTCAGGACCCAGCCTGGCACAGTACGAGCCTGAGGAATAACCAACTGACCCTCCTGGGGGTCTGCACCCTGCTGAGAATCTCGTGAAGGATATGTCCCTTCGCTCCAGAAAAATATGCCTTTGTACATGTATAACTTGGCCAATAGCATCAGGCAGTCCACAGACAGCCCAGAACCCTCACCCTGTAGGCTTCTGCAAGGTGGGCTCCCGCCCTCCCCTAGAAAAACAAATCTCAAAAGCTTCCCAGGGTGGGGGCAGATGACAGTTCCAGGAGCTGGAAAATGGTCGCTTTCACTCTAGGCTCCCCTCCTCCCCCCAGGCGTTGCTCACTTTAGCCCAAGGGTGTCAAAGTAGACACAGCACTTGCTGCACTCAGCCAGAATCTCTCCAGGGAGAACTGAAAGCTATCATTACAGAAAACGCTCACAGGATCAGAATAGTCCGCTTGTTGGCTCGCAAGCATCTGCTCGGCCAGGCTCCAGGCCTATCCTTCCCACCTCCTAGCTCCCGTCCAGGGCCCTTGTCTGCATAGGACAGCACCATCGCACTCCTGCTCCTTCCCCCGGCTCACTGCAGTTTGTACCTTCCTCCACGAGGGCATTTACACGACCCACCCAGAACTGTCCAGTCATCCGCTACCCTCAGCAGGCCACGAGTAACCCACAGACAGGGCCCAGGTTTCTCACTTCTGTGATTCCAGCCCTACCCAGCACAAGGCCAGGAACAGAGGCCTCATGGCCTATGCCTATCTGTGGCCAAGGAAAGTTCCAGACCACCCCTGTGGTCCACCTGGGAACTCACAAGGACATGGTCACTTCAAGAGCAATTAGAGGAACTACAGCGAATGAGCTGGTGAAGCAGTGAGTGACCTGACCTCTGACCCTGTATGCCATCTCGAGAGTCCCGCTATCACGGGACCATTACTATTCACAAGCCAGGCCAGCAGACCAGTTTCGAGGAGAACATCTGGGGGGGTGGGCACCTGTTTTCTGCCAGTTTTAAAGCAGGACCCGGCATCTAGGACTATGTTGTCACCCTCCACAACTTCAGCTCAGAGTTCAGTCATATGACTTGTGTGAGTGAAAATGCTGAGCCCCAGGAAGAAAAGTGGGAATCGCCCAGGACAGAAAGCAACCAGGTCTGGGGACTGTCACCAGCTCCCACCTCGAGGAGTCCCGAGCAGGTGCAACAGAGGCTGGTGAGGACACACCCTCCCACCCCAGCTGGGCCCAGCTCCAGGGCCCCACTGGGAAGGAGGAACATGAGTAGGTCCGACCCTGGGGCCCACATCATTGTCCTCAGGAGGCATAGCCAGTGACTCACTCATGCATCTGGCCCAGGAGCACCACGTTGGGTCCTGTCCCAGTCAGGGTGGCAGTGCCTCCGATGCTGGCCGCGTAGCACACACACAGGTTCATGGCCTTGCATATGCTCTTCTTGCCACGGTTCTCCTGTGGCCCCATCACAGGGCCTTCAGACCGCGCTTGGCTCCCTGCAGTGACACGCCTCTGTAAGCAGAGCCAGGCCCGGGGACCGCCTGCTCAGCCCCGCTCCTCACTCTGCCACTGACCTGAGGATGGGGACAGGCTGACTCGGCTGGCTCCCTCCTCAGGTTTTCCTCAGCCTCCCTCTCTGCCTCCCGCAGTCACTTCCCACTGCTTCCCCCAGGCTCCTCTTTGCCCAGTGCAAATTCAGCAACTTCAGGCACACACCCTTCTTTGCCTCCTTGCTGTTGCTCCAGTTGGTCCCTCCCTTTAAGGGGGGTGTCCAAATCCACCTTGGCTGTCCTTTCCTCCCAGTAAGGCCTCTCCTTTGTCTGGGCTCCTCTGGTGTCTGGCTTATGGCACCCGGTGGCTTCCCACAAGTCAGAGGAACTGGGCAAGGGGCCTCACTACCCCACCCCATTGGGCTCCTTCAGCCCAAAGTATGGGTGCATCTGCTTCATCTCAGCAGCCCCAGGACCTGGCGATCAGGCCATCAGAAGAATGGGCCCTGAGTTCTGTGCTGGGCCCTGGGGATGGGGTACAGACAATGCAGACAATGAAACAGGCACCATCTGACTTCCCCGAGCTCCACACCTAGCGGGGAAGCAACATTGGACAACCACCCCAATGCCTGTGGGAGCAGAGAGCGGACGGGAGGTCTGACCTGTTCAGGGCAGGCCTCTCTGAGGATGAGTAGAAGGAGCAAAGGGTGATGGGCACCCTGCAGGTGCTCAAAAGATGCCCAAACAGGGAATCAAATGAATACCTATTGATTTCTGTGATGGGTGGGAACCGGGGGTTGGAACTTGCTATGAACAGTATTAAAGGACTTAACTTTCATGTGCTAATTACATTCCTAAAACTTATGAAAACAGCACTTTCTAAGTATTTCCCTGGAGGCCTGTTTAGAAGTGGACCCCAGCAGCAACCCAGCCCAGGGCTCACCTGGCAGCTCGCAGGTCTTGCCCTTGTCCACCAGCTCCAGGGAGCCCAGGTTGGCCTCGGCAGTGGCGCCTGTGGCTTCCATCTGCTGCAGCACGGCCTCCACGATGGGCACCATCATGGCTGTGGTGGCCGTGTTGCTGATCCACATGGAGAGAAAGGCTGTGATGACCATGAAGCCCAGCATCAGCCTGCAGAGGAGCAGCAAGGAGGGAAGACAGAGAATTCCCACCCCCACGGCCCCAAGCCTTTAGGGAGCAACAGGGGTTGGGCCCTCCTGCCAAGATGCCAGGCATCCAGGCCAGGGTGCTGAGGCCAATTTAAAACAGGGTTGTCTGGGGGAGGGCTGGAGCTTAAGTCCTTCCCTCTGTCTCTCTCTTCCTTCTTTCCTCCCTCTCTCCCGCAAACACTACTGATTCCTACTCTGCTGGCTGCAGGGGTGCCAGGAGGCCTTTCTCAGACCCAGTTGTGGTTCTAAGGAGCTCCTGTCCAGCTGAGCCAGCACAAGCAACCAGATGGTGCCAACCCAGTGGGAACAGTTGGCCCTAGCACATCCTAAGGGCGTGCCGGAACAGCCCTATGTGCAAGTAGCCCCAACACCCCACTTCTATCTAGAAGATTCCCACCCACCCCAGACTCTGCTTCCCCTCTCCTAAGTTCAGGAGGTCTGCACAGAGTTAGCCTTTGGCCATTGGCGGGGGCGGGGTGATCCTGGGACAGTGGGACCTCCATAATGTCTGACCCTCGATCGCCTCTCTCTGCACACACACACATCTCCATTCAGCAATGGACCAGATCAAACAAACAGTATTCAGAAGGCATGTTCCCTTCATTTACACCACCTGTCTTCCACCTCTGTCCCACCTCTGCCTGCCTAGAACATTCCTCATGGTCCTTCCAAACCTGTTAGATAATGTCGCTCCTCTGCAGCCTCACTCCCAGTACACACCAGGTGGGGTGAACACCCTCCCCCAGCCCCCTCCAACACTCCTCACTGGCAGGATTCAGAGGGCCTGTTTCCCTGCCTGCTCTGTCCTTGGATGGTGAGCAGGGGAAGGGTCTGATTCTTCTCCATGGCATCCATGTACTCTGGCACAGGGCCAGAAACAGAAGAGGCTCAGGGAGGGATGGCTAAATGGAACAAAACTGCTCCTGGCCTCCATGTCCCTCGGTAGCCAGGCTTCTCCCTAAGACCACTCATTCACCTGAAGCAGGGATCTAGGTGCTGCACTGCACGGAGGTCCAAGCTGGAGTCCATGCAGGTGGATTTTACGGACCCACAAGAACAAAGGCTGGGATCTAGGCTGGAAGGAGGCTCAGAGTTTTCATGAATGAGACTTCAACATGATGCTTCAAGGCACCAAGTGGGCCTCAACATAAAGGTCACCCCCCTGGCAGGCAGTGCCATGGACAGCTCAGAGGGGAAGCCAGGTGACAGGAAGGAGCACAGAAGCCCATGCAAAATTCTCAGATCTGGGAACAAAAGCTCTTCGGCACTCTCAGAATGAGGTCCACCTACTGATGGAGAAAAGCTGGCCACTCAAAGGATCCTGAAAGCAAGAACTCTGTGACCATTGAGGCCTTGCATTGCTAGAAAATGCAATGGCTTTTGATTTGACCCTGTAAACCAATCACTGGAGGAGATCAATGCCATGAAGGGTAACAACAGAGATCGGAGTCACAGAGCTCCCTGCGCACGGCAACCTGAGGGGCCCAGGGAGCTAGGCATCATCTCCTGGAGGATGGACCAGGCTCTGTGTGCTTAGGGCCCAGCACAGTCCCTGACACGTGGACATCTCAGGAGGGATTGGCTGTGAACTAACCATCCACTGCCTTCTCAGGGCTGGGCTGAGCCACAGCTTCATTCAGGGAACACATTGCTTCAAAAGAAAGGTGCATCCTGAGCTCTCTACTTGGCGGTGGCCAGTGGGAAAAGCCTCGTCAGACAGCCAATCATTTATCCCCTCTCTGTCTCAACTTCCTCCTCTAGAGAACGTGGGTGGTAGGAATGACACCCAACTCTCAGGGCTGTGGTGAGAGTTAAATGAGGGGATAAATGAGCTCCCAGCATCTTGCCTAAGTCCTTGTCGATGCTCAGTGTAGCCAGGTGATTCTGATTACATCAACTCCATGGGAGGGTTAGAAATTGCCTGCGATTGGTGGGGGAAGATCTTGGAGAGGCAGAGAAGCTTGAGATTCTAAGTGACATGAGGGAAGATAAGGAAAGAAGCTTCTTTACAGAGGGAAGAGATGTGCCAGCTATGGAAGGATGACCTTTCTGCTTCCTCCTGAGAGGGGTGGTTGAGCCACCCCTGGCCTGCTTTCCCCACAAATTCCCCTATCAGGCATGGCTTGATCCAGCCTCCACCCACCTTGGAACCCCACAGCCCCTCCTCCAGAAAGTCCTCTGAACATGCAGGGACCCTTGTTGGCCAGTATCCTCTGGATGCAGAGAACCCTCACCCACTGCTGCTCACCACAGGCCCCCAACCATTGCCCATGCATCTGGTGTCCCCAGCTAAAATTGTCACATTTGTCATGTGCCCCATCCAGAAGTCCACCTGCCTGCCCGGCCCAGGTAAGCCCATGGGCAGCCCTGCCTGTGGGTGATCTGGCCAGTGCTGCAGCTTCTCCCCAGCCCTGGGGCCCACAGGGAGCCTGTGGCAAGGAAGAGAAGGCGTAATTACTGTGCGGGCTTGGTCCCCACCCAGAGGAGAGTGCGTAGGGCGATCCTCTTGTGCAGGTTCCAGCGCTCCACAGCCACAGCCATGACGAGGCCACCCAGGAACAGCATATTAGTGTCCTTCATGTACTGCATACACACCTGGAAGGTGGTGGCATGGAGTCCCCATCAGGGTTGCCTCCTGGCCACATATTGCTTAGGCCCAGGGCCACCCACGTCCCCAGAGACAGGCGGGCAGACCAGATGCTGACTCCAGGGACAGTTGGGAGTGGGTTGAAGGGTCAAGTGGTAGCCTCCATGCCAAAAAGAATCCACAGTGGGCTCCTCTGGTCCCCCAGGGCCTGGGCAGCTCAGAGAGCAGCTTCGAGAAGGAGCCAGTGGAAGAAGCAGAAGGCCACCAGGATTCCCTGGGTCTGCTCACCTGCTTGGAGTCCAGAATCTTGAAGAGTGGGAAAAGCAGGACAGGCATGAGGGCGGTTACTGCCAGAGGGATGACTTCTGTGCACCAGTAAATGGCCATGAGGATGATGACGTAGGCACACCTGACAAACTGAAGAGACAGCCCTGAGGCCTCAGCATGCTGCTGCCACCCTTGGTCTCACCCCCTCCTGGTGAGACGTGGGGGGCAACATCCGCCTCCCTCAGTCATTCCGTGTGTCATCAGCACCTTTATGACAACCTTCGTTACCCACCCAGACTCTGCACCCCCTCCCCACCCCGTCCCAACCCAGCCGGCTGTATCAGCCATCAAGACCTGCAGCTTTCAGTCCGTTATTCTCTGGCCTCTTTCTCCTCGCGCCTTGACCCCTCGGTCACTGCCTTTCTTCAGGCCACATTTCCTCCTGCCTGGGTGGCTGCAACTCTCTTCTATAGGACCTTTCTACTCGTATCACTCCACACTGGGGTGCCCTCTTTCTCTTCTGCAAATCTGATCATATCATCCCTTTTAAAGGCCTTCTCTTGCCTTCAAGACAAAACCCAAAAGCCTTAGCATGACTTAGGAGGCCCTCAGCGATGGAACAGGTGCTGCAGACCCTTCCAGCACCGTCTCCCTGCCCACTCGCACCCCGAGTACCAGAGGTTCCTGAGCCCCCTTCTCTCACACACCCCAGCCCCGTGGCAGAGTGAGTGTTCACTTGCCTTAGTGTGTCTCCTTAGGCACGTCTTCCCCACCCCCTCCCAACAGTCTGGGTCTGTGCCCCAGTCTCTCTGTCTCCTCCTCCAGCCCCAGCAGTTCACCCATGGGCTTGCCATTGTTCGTTTCCTCAACTGTCTGCCCTCCCCACCACCAAGGAACAGTGAGCACCCCGAGGGCAGAACCAGCGCTGGTGGATTCACTCTGTCCTCAGCACCAGCACAGGCCTCACACCCAGGAGATGCTCAGCAAACGAGTGTTAGAGGAAGGGACGGGCACAGCACAAGCTACAACAACACTGCTGGAAAGGGACCTGTACACCATCACTGTTTATCATCACCCCAAAGAGCACGCAGCCAAGGCATGAGGCAATGCATGGAGACTCAGAAATTCTTTGTCTGGATTGTGTTGTCAGTCATAAAAAAATAAATCTTTCTTCAGCATCCCGTGAGAACCTCAGGACACTTCCCTCCTGTCTAATGCAGGGTTTCTCAGCCTTTCCACTATGGACATTTTTGGCTGGATGGTTCTTTGTTGAGGGGCGGGGTGTCCTGTGCATTGTAGGATGTTTGGCAGTGTCCTTGGCCTCCACCCCACTAGATGCCAGTAATACTCTCACCAGTTGTGACAATAAAAGTGTCCCCAGGCTCTGCCAGATGCCCCTGCTCGGGAGGCTGCAGGTAGCAATGCTGATGGAAGCCACTGAACGCAAGGCAGGACAGCAGTGTGGGTAGCAGCCCAGGGAGACCCCAGGCAGACCTGATCACTGTCCCCTCTCTGCCCTTGTCTGGCTCTCAGCAGTCACTCAACAACATCATTGATGAAAGACTCATCTGGCTCCCAACCCCAGCCCCTCTCCCTGCCCATTTCACGTCCTCACCTGGACACTGAGGAGTTAAGAGTAGTCATTTTTAACGTAGGAAACACAGGGATTGCTCAGTGGATTTTTATTATCTAAACTTATCAGCACCTTTAACCAATTTCCACAGCATAGTTCCTGGAGGCACCAAATATAACCAACAAAAAACACATGGAGCTAACTGGCTCCCCACCTCCACCCCACTATCAAGAGGCCCAAGAGATGTGCCACCCCAGAGGCAGGGCCATCTCCTGGTCTAGAACGCTCCCCCAGCGTCAGTGGAGAGGGCAGCTGGGAAGGGCCATGCCAGACCAGACAGAGCAGGGGGTGGCCCCCACGCAGAAGGAGAGGGACTCTCCCTGCAGAGAAGAGCTCAGCTCCCTGTGGGTGAGCTCAGAGCAGGTCCCTGAAGCTGGAATGCGGCTGGAAGAGCACTTAAAGCTGAGATCAAAGTGAGAGGTGGATTGAAAAGTCAGCACCCAGCACAGTGCCTAGCACATAATGGGGCTCAATAAATACACAGTAAGAGCACAAATAAATAAAACCATGTATAATTATTAACAAATAAGGCTGCGATGGTTATCAAAATATTAGTAAGTTATGAGTTTTGAGGGTATTTTTCATTTTTATTTTACATCTTACAGGCTTTAAAAAATAAGGTTTTTTGCAATTTTAATAAAATCAATGCTTATAATAAACATATAATTGATTTTATTAAAAAGCTATTTTTTACATTTTTTTTAAAGGGACCCAGAGAGAGGGCAGAAAGAGTGGAGCAGAGAGGAGGCCAGGCAGGAGGCAAGGTGGAGGAGAGCAAGGAAAGAAGGAAGGTCTCAGCAGAGAGGCTGGGCTCGGGCTGGAGGGCAGCGTGCCTTCAGAGTCACCTCCCCACTTGGCCAAGTTCTCACTGGCCTCCCAGCCACTCTGTTCCATTCCAGTACCTTGGGGCGGCCCCACGTACCCTTGCACAATGGGGCGGCCATGGTGGGTAGGGGCAGGGAGCTCTTTGGTGGTGACTAAATAGAGGCACAAGGGGAGAAAACACCAGGGCAGAAGCCCAGACTCCCAGCCACCTGTCCCTCCAGGAGGAACAGCATGTGGAGGCAGCCTTGGGAAGGACTTTCACAGATGTCTCCTCTTCCCGCACTGATCCTCACTCCCAAAGCCAATTCATGACAATCGGGCACACTCCGAGTTGGGGAAGGTCCCAGCTCAGGGAAGTGTGGCGTGTGTGTGAGTAGCAGAGTAGGAGAGGGGTCTCAGTCACACTCAGCCAAGCTGTATAAGTATTCCAGGGAACATCACTCCCTGCCAGCAGAACCAAAATCACAGCTCTCCTGCCTGCTTTCCTCCCACGGATGGTAACAGCCCAAATCTCTTTCTACAGAGGAAATGTGGCCCCTCACAGTTGGTGTGGCAACTGAAGGGCCATCCCAGTTGGATCTGGTGTCCTGGCCCACCCCAGCCGGTGCTCAGCCCACTCATGGGTTGTTCTCAACCTCCTCCTCCCCCATCCTAGGAACTGGCAGAATCCCTTTGGGCACCCAAAGCCATGAAGTGTCAAAACCAAGCCACCTGGCCCCACTGTAAGGATGAAAATACCAAGGCCCAGAAAACAGAGAGGCTTCTCTAAAATCACAAAGAAGGGTGAATGGAGGAAGTCGGTTCTCTTGTAGAGTTGGCTTCCTGATAGATACCCCACTTCACCCCCAGTCGTCCAGCACTGCCCCCAGAGTATCCCCTAAAGAACTCCTCTGTTTCCCAAACCTGCCTGGGAGGGACAGGCAGCTGGGGGTTTCCTGTCTGGGCTGAGAGTGAAAGGGCTGAAAGAGGGAATGAGGAAGGAGCAGCCAGCAGCCACAAAAGGCTTCAAAGGGCTCGGGCCTCTGCCAAACAGGCTTCGCACAGCCCAGCGCAGCCTGGGCCAGGGCTCCCAGCACCACCCTCACCCTGTGGCCAAGGCCATTCATTCTCTGCCTCCTTCCCAGGAGCGCTAGGAGGCCAGGGCATGGGATGCAGCTTCCCTGCAACCCTGGGTCGTGCCACCCAAGGCGTGAGCTCTGGGAACATGTCCGCCTCCTGCCACAGCCACAGCAGGCAGTGAGCAAAGCGGAACAACCCTGACCTTCCTTTCAGCCAGGACAAGGATTTTCACTCAGCTGTGACCTCCAGGGGTTCAGAGTTGGAAAGAAATGTGGATCATAAATAGGGAAACTGAGGCTCAAAGAGGGCCAGAGAGTGGCGAAGACAATATTCAGGGTCCACTTAGGTCCCTGACTGACCTGGGAAGCCACCTGGAGCTGGGAAGACCCCATTCATTAAGGGAAGAGGAGAGAGAAGGAAGGCCAAGCTCCCAGGCTCCCTATCAGCACCGTTGGAATGGGGGTTGGGGGTGGGGAAGGAATAAGGTTATGCACTCTGGGGAGATTCTGCTCCCAACTGAGCCTATGGATGGGCTATGGGGCCAAGATCTGTGCTAACGTCTAGGTTTCTGTGCTTGTTGGGACTGTTCTTGTGTCCTGGGATCTATGAACCCCTAGGTTGGTGTTCCCCGGCATTTCCGTGCCCCTTGGAATTCTTTACAGGACACCTCCCATCTGGCACCAGTACCTCCCGAGTTCGCGAGCCCCCGTGGAGGGTGGGGAACTGTGCCCACCCAGAAATCCATGCGCTCCACCTCAGTGCCCCCGGGTTCAGAACCCGTTGCTGGGACCGGGTGCTTGGAGTCCGCGGGACTGCCAGGAGATGCAACTGACCTTGGCGGGTATCAGAATGATGAGTGGCAGCAGCAGTATTGGGGTGAGGAACAAGATCACGAAGGACTTGAACTTGAAGACATAGCTCAGTGCCGAAGCCATCGTGCTGAAGGGAGATGGACGGGAGAGGCTTGTGAGGGGCAGCCAGAGGCTCCGCGGGCTTAAGAAGGGGCCACAGTCCCGGGGGAAGCGGAGGGAGGCAACTCCGCCCCCCACGGTGGGGCCTCCGCAAGGCCGGGGGGCGGGGCTACCCCGCAGGGTCGGTGGGGCCCGCCTGCCCCCAACTCTGCCACCCCGCGGCGGCTGGAGGCTCCTGCGGACTGCAGCGCTTCGGACCCGCCATCCAGAAGTGGCCAGGGCCCGGGCACTCTCCAAGTCTTTCCAGTGCTGCCCTGGACAGAGGCGCGCCCCTGGGCTGCCCAGCGGCATGTGATCGGTCATTCATTCTTCCAGCTTTGGCGTGTGGCACCCCCTTGTCAGTCCTCACCTATCCTTCCTGCGCGCTGCAGGGGTCCCAGGTGAAAGTCTCCGCGTGCCCTGGGGTCTCTCAGATCTAAATCTTCCCAGTCTCTCTCTCCTTTTCACCTATTACTTCTGTCCTTCGCACCCACCCCTCGGAGGGGTCTCTAGCAGAGGTGATGACCGTGTCCCTCCCCTCCCCACAACAGGCCTCCCTTTTCCGCGTCTCCCTGGCCTCCCCGAAGCGTCCGTGTGTCTCTGGGCAACGGGACCTCTCCTCGCGCGCGAGCCCTCTACTCAGCGCGTCCCGGCGCTCTTCCGCTATCGCAGAGGAGGCAAAGCTGCAGTCCTGCTCAGGCCGAGCGCTTTCAGCACTCTTGCTCTCGCCCGCGCCGCCCGCCCGCCCGCCGGACAGCCGACAGGAGCAATGACTTTGGTGGGCATCAGAATAATGGGTGCTCCACTTGGGGGTGGACTGAGCCCCAGCAATCGCCGCCACCCTCCTGACCAAGGCTGCTACTGCCATTTTACTGAGGGAAACGGGCCCAGAAAGGAAGGGACTTAACCAAGGCTACACTGAAAGGGCCATTCATTCATTTGGCCACCTGCCAACAAGTACTGAGCACCTATTCTGTGCTAAGCCCCGCTTTGGGTGCTGGAAATACCAGGATGCGGACACTGCCACCTCTATCACTTTCTTCTTTCCTTCTTTCTCCTCCTCTGCCTGCCTGTCTTCTCATCATTCTGCAGCTTTCTTTTGGGGAGTCTTAGGCCTGCCAGGGGTTTAACCGCAGCTTGCTTCTTCGTAATCACCACCCTATCTTCAACCCAGCCATGATACGTGAGCCCCAGATCTCCATTATTTCCATTCTTTTAAAAAATTATTGTTATTCTATTACAGTTGTCCCATTTTTGCCCCTTGCCCTCCTCCGCCCAGCCTCCCCCCACAGTCAATCCCCAAGTTGTCCCTGTCCATGGGTCATTTATGCATGTTCTTTGACCAGTCCTTTCCCTTTCTTTCTATTCTTTCTTTTTAATTTTTAAAAAGATTTTATTTATTTATTTTTAGAGAGAGGGGAAGGGGAGGAGAAAGAGAGGGAGAGAAACATCAATGTGTGGTTGCCTCTCATAAACTACCCACTGGGGACCTGGCCTGCAAAGCGCGCATGTGCCCTAACTGGGAATCAAACCGACAACCTTTTGGTTTACAGGCCCGTGCTCATTCCACTGAACTACACCAGCCAGGGCCCTTTCTTTCTATTCTTATCCCCCTTCCTCATCCCCTCTGGTCACTGTCAGTCTGTTCCATGTTTCCATGCCTCTGGTTCTATTTTACTTGTTACTTAATTTTGTTCATTAGTTTCCTCAGGTGAGATCATATGGTATTTGTGTTTCACCAACTGGCTTATTTCACTTACATAATAGTCTCCAGCTCCATCCATGCCATCACAAAAGGTAGGAGTTCTTTCTTTCTGCTGCATAGTATTCCATCACGTAAATGTACCGCAGTTTTTTAGTCCACTCATTTACTGATGGGCACTTAGGCTGTTTCCAGCACTTGGCTATTGTCAATAGCACTGCTATGACCATAAAGGTGCATAAGTTCTTTTGAATTGGTGTTTTGGGATTCTTAGGGCATATTCCCAACAGTGGAATCGCTAGGTCAAAAGACAGAACTAGGGTTCCCTTTTCTCCACATCCATGCCAGCACTTGTTTGTTTTTTGGTTTATTAATGATGGCCATTCTGACCGGTGTGAGGTGGTATCTCATTGTGGTTTTAATTTGCATCTCTCTGACAGCTAGTGATGCTGAGCATTTTTTCATATGCCAATGAGCCATCTGTATGTCCTCCTTGAAGAAGTGTCTTTTCAGGTCCTTTGACTATTTTTTTATTGGATTGTTTGTCTTCCTGGTGTTGAGTAGGATGAGTTCTTTATATATTTTAGAGATCAAACTCTTGTCCAAGGTATCATTGGCAAATATGTTCTCCCATACAGTGGGGTGCCTTTTCATTTTGATGATGGTTTCCTTAGCCATGCAGAAGCTGTTTAATATGATGTAGTCCCATTTGTTTATTTTTTCCTTTATTTCCCTTGCCCTAGGAGATATATTGGCAAAAATACTGCTATGTGGGATATCTGAAATTTTACTACCTATGTTTTCCTCTAGGATTTTTATGGTGTTATGACTTAAATTTTAAGTCTTTTATCCATCTTCAGTTTATTTTTGTGTATGGTGTAAGTTGGTGGTCTGGTTTCATTCTTTTGCTTGCGCCAGACCAGTTCTTCCAACATCATTTATTGAAGAGGCTATTTTTACTCCATTGTATGCTTCTGCCCCCTTTGTCAAATATTAATTGACCGTAGAGACACGGGTTTATTTCTGGGCTCTCTATTCAGTTCCATTGATCTATGTGTCTGTTCTTATGCCAGTACCAGATTGTTTTGATTACAGTGGCCTTGTAGTATAGTTTGATATCAGGTATTGTGATCCCTCCTGTTTTGTTCTTCTTTCTCAAGATTGTTATGGCTATTTAGGGTCTTTTTTGGTCCCATATAATTTTTTGAAATATTTGTTCTAGATCTGTGAAATGTGCCATTGGTATTTTAATAGAAATTGTGTTGAATCTGTAGATTGCTTTGGGACATTTTAATAATTTTAATTCTTCCAATCCATGAACACAATATATGGTTCCATTTATTTGTATCTTCCTTAATTTCTTTCTTCAGAGTCCTACAGTTTTCTGAATATAGGTCTTTTACCTCCTTGGTTAAGTTTATTCCTAGGTACTTCATTATTCTTGTTGCTATAGTAAATGATATTTTTTCCCTAGTTTCTCTTTCTGATAGTTCATTGTTGGTGTACAGAAATGCCATCAATTTTTGAATATTGACTTTGTATCCTACTGTTTTGCCAAATTCACTTATCAGGGCAAGTAGTTTTTTTTTTTTTTTTGTAGAGACTATAGGGCTTTCTATACACACTATTATGTTGTCTGCAAATAGGCAGTTTTACTTTCATCTTTCCAATTTGGATGCCTTTTATTTCTTTATCTTGTCTGATTGCTGTGGCTAGAACTTCCAGTGCTATGTTGAATAAGATTGGTGAAAGCAGACACCCTTGCCTTGTTCCTGATCTTAAGGGGAAAACTTTTAGTTTTTGCTCCTTGAGTATAATGGTGGCTGTAGGTCTCTCATATATGGCCTTTATTATTATCATACATCCCACTTCGCTGAGTGTTTTTATCAATATGGGTGTGGAATTTTTATCAACTGCTTTTCCAGCATCTATTGATATGATCATGTGATTTTTTTCCTCTTCATCCTTTTTTTTTTAACCGGGCTAGGCCTCAGGCCTTAAAACTCAACATATCCTACCTAAATCAAGTTCATGACTCTCTCTTCCTGGAACCTCCACCTAAGAACACATATTCCCCCCAGACCCTCCCTGCATCTGCCTGCCTTATGTATGCCCTTCCCCCTTTGTAGTTCTCTCATCTAACCCTAGATTTCCCTCCCCCATCCCCATCCGACGGCACTTAGCACTGTTTGTACCTATATATTTAGAGTGCGATTTTTATTTAATGTGTGTTTTATTTAACACCATGTGTACGACCAGCACCTTTTGCAGTGCTGATCCACTGTGTGCACTCAAAACGTTTTCTCTGGGCTGTGTGAATGCATGCAGGTGAACCACTTCAGTACAGTAACACTTCAGTACAATAACACAGTCAGAGCACTGGCTCTGGGGCCAGACTGCCTGGACCCACACCCTGGCCCTAACCCATCCTGGCTGTGCACCTTAGCCAATTTGCCTTCTCTGGGCTTATTTTTTCATAAGTGGAGATAATAACTCCAAATTTGATTTCAAGAGGTTTATTTGTAGATTATATGAGTTAATGCTCAGAGAGTGCTTGACACAATGCTCTGGCATATAGTCAGCCATTAGCAAACATTTTCTTTTGCAATTATATGCAAAATACTCTGAGTGTCAGGAGCCATGGGGGAAGCCTTCACCCAGGAGGCAGCATTTGAACTGAGACTTCAAGGCTGAGTAAAAGTTCGTCAGGCAGTGGAAGCTAGTTAAAATCACCAATGAATAAGAAAGTATTAAATTTGTTGAGGAAAATAATCCCAAGATAATTCAGGAACACCAGACACTAAAGCACAGCAAAACAACAAAAGCTGAATACATGGAGAGATTACACCAAGTTTGTGGGCAGGGAGACTAAACATCATAATAATTTTCATTCCTCCCAAATTTACAAATTCTTTTCAATTCCAATTAGAGTTCCCAGAGAATTTTTATTTGACAAGCTAAACCTAAAATTCAAACTTTTGCAAGGAGCCAGGAATAGTTAAGACATTCCTGGAAAAGTGGGGGGAAATTACCTACCAGAATTCAAGCTTCACAGTTACAGTAAATATCCTAAAAATAGACCCATGCTTCCGTGGAAACTGGATACACAAAAGAGATTGAGTGGACTAGTTGATGCCTACTGGCAGCTGCTGGACCAATTGGTGTTTAACAGTAGAAATGTTTTTCTTTCACTAAATATGTTAAACACATAAGAAAAGTTTGATCATAATATGTAAAGAATTAATAAAGCTACTTTTGGTTTTTAAAATCATGAATCATTTAATTATTCCCAAAAGGTGAAATAAGAGTTCAATTTATGCATGTAAATTTGTTTACCAAAGAATGCTCTGCTTTTATCATACTCCCACATCACAAATAACTTATAATTTTAGCCACATATTATATAACAAATGATGTAATGAAAAAGAGCATGTCAATTTACATCTTGTATTGATTGACTT